TTATCCGATGATGGAAGTACGACCCTTGGTTTAGTGATTGATATTCTCGAGTTTGTTTATCCACGTAATGTAGAGTTGTGATATTTGTGATATACCATTCCCCAAAGAGAACAAAGTATATCACAAATTTTATAACACTATTAGACATCCATATTAAACATCACAACACTATATTACATGGAGAAACAAACTCGACAATGTCAATTACTAAACCAAGGGTCGTAATTCCATTATAGGATAATCCAAAATGCACTATTCTAATTGCTTGTGTCATTTGCTAATGACGCCACACAGTCAGTTGCACAAAAGTTTGCTTTTTTAGGCACATGTTTAAAGTTTCAACTGCACTCGCCATATACGTATAGTTTCAAGCTATCAACCTTAATAATGTGTATTAGTTTTTGCTAATGAATCGGTATTTAATTTGGATTGACTACAGATAAAACTTCATAGATGAAAGTATAGAATTTACAAGTCAAAAAATTTTGAGTACCATATTAAGACTGGATTTGTATCAATGATAATAGGTTCAATTGACATGCATCTTTTGTTTGTTAGTCAAGGCCTAACGATGGGTTCAACTGGAAATGAGTCTTCGAGCAAAAAACATTTCGACTTTCATTATACCATACTTTAATAATGTATGATGATTCTTGAAAAAATAAAAATTACTCTAATTTGGATGTTCATGGGTCGAGCGTGCATGTTTTGTTATCACTGCTCCAAAAAAGAAAAACAAAATAACAATTATAAAATCATTGGATTAGCTTCACTAAATATAAGAGTTCAAATTTAAGACGTTACACTTTTTCAGTATTTAGATAAATTTGTTTTTGGATTCAACTAAAGTCATTTGGGAGGTTGTGATTTAAGTTAAAACATCAAGATTTTCCAGCCGTTGATATAAATTTGGTTTGTTGGGGGGTGGAGCGGCGGCGATGGAGAAATTCCCATTTCTCAATCACTATCAATAAAAAAAAATAAAATAAAATCGTTTATAGATATTAGATCAATATATATGAACCATAGAAATAGTTGCATGCAAGATATTTATGTTTACGCATTAACTTGAATGGTCCATGGAGTTATATTTCTGGAGACTATCTCGACAGTTGGTGTATTATTTAATCTCTACTTGAAGAATAATGAATATTTATGTTTTGGTGCATTTTATTTCATTTTGTTCAGTGTTTTTTTTGAATAGAGTTGATTACCTATATATATTGTATACTCCGTACATGCATAGAAATATAATTCACAAATCCATCAAAATAAATCAAAACCAAATTTACACAATAAAGTTGATTGACCCGTGCGTGAACTCCCAAAGTACAAATCGGTCAAAAGTGGCTATCTTCTTCAATTTTTCTCATTCATTTGACTTTTACATATTCAAAAACTTACATTATCGACTAAAACATGGTTGGACACTTGGATTGTGACTAAACATCGTTAGTTCAGACTCTAGTAGTCGTTAGAATATTCGTTGGGAAAACTCATATAGGGATTATTTCAAGTGCAATATGAGTCCGCTTAAAATCATCTCATAATTATTGAAAAAAAACTAATTGAGTTGAATTTTTTGCACCTTATAGGTTGAGTTCTGGAACCATCATTTGAAATGACGAACGTAATTGTTGGAATTATAGCCAAGTTATAGGGGTGAATGAGAAATTGATTTCTCATGTGATTGGACTTGTCAAACGTAATTCGAGTGTAAATATGCCAACGAAACACTGAATTATAACTCATAGACCTAATCAACTCGTGTTTTACCAGTGGTTTCAGTTTTCCTATTAGAATGGAGAGTTATGGACAATTGAATTGAAATATTAAACAGTCCGTTCATACCTCCAAACTTGAAACTGGTTTTACATTAATCCATTATTTTTATTTTCATTAATAAGGGAATGGATAGCTACTTTTAATACAATTAAATTAGTATCCATGTTTTAACTTTCCCTCTCTATAGGTTAAGGCTTACTCTCAAAATTCCACATGACCAAGAAAAAATGAACCAACTTTCTCTATTATTTTATTTGCCAAAATCTTCCTAACCTTCCTTGGTGTTCATCTAAGTCCTAGTTTCACTCCGTCGATGATTTAGTCTAAGTGCAAGACAAGATCATGTCACTCGTTGTATCCCGGAAAACAGACGCTTTTTCATCCTCTAACACTCAGTGAGAGGGAGCGAATTTGTTTTAAGGAAAACATATTTTCACGTGTCTCAAAATTCTCTCTTTCTTGAGTTCTTGTTGTCGTTACAAATACCTCTCTTTTCACTTTTTCCAACAATATCGGCTCAAGGATTTAGGCTGGAGACGGGCAAATAATGGCTTGTGGAGCACAATAGTTAACATCATTGTAAGTGTAGTAGACTATATAAATATTTTAATTATCATGTTTTTATTACACCTTTTTCATACAATGGTTTATACTTGAAAAATTGTAATAAAATAAAATTACTATTGCATTATCTTGTACTACATTTAATTAAAAATTAAATAGGTTAACCCTTTAAAAAAACATATTGGCCCAAAAAAATCTAATACGCTGCCGTACAAGAATTCTTACAATGTAACAAACTATTTACACTCTATGTGGTGGTAGATAGTATAATTAGATGGTAATTTATTTTATTATTTACCACCACTAAACATGTCTTTAATTTTTTTTAAATTGAATGCGTATAAGTTATACTCTCTCTATTCCAAAATTATTGTCTAGTTTGAATTTTCATTTTTACTATAATTTGAACTAAAAATAAAAATCTAAACTGGACAATAATTTCGGGACAAACGGAGTAATAACTATATGGAGTATCATTACTATATAACTATGGTATAAACATATTATTTTTTAATTCGTTCCGTTGAGGAATTATTGTGCAATTTAATGAGGAATACAGTAAAGATTACCAATAATTTAAGTAATAACTCTTATTTAAATGATACTCCCTGCACTCTTTATTATAAAATATTTTGATTTATTTTAAATTTTATTTTGTTTGTTTTTCCAATTGAAAAAACCCTAAAAATACTTTATAATAATGGAAAAAAAAATAATGAATATGAAAATGTGTTTTTAAAGCTATATTTTTAATTGAGAAAACATAATAAATGAAATTGGGCGCCCCATCTATTTAGTCTCTAAAGTATTATCCAATATCGTCCATAATGTTTCTCCATAAGTACTAGCAAAATGTTTTTCCATAATGTTTTTCCCTAGTATTTTATAAATTATCAATTTTTCCATAATTTATTTTTTCAAATTTTTTCAGTTAAGCCAAATTTTAATTTTACCCTACCACTTTATTAATTTTATTTATCAGAATTAAAATTTTCTACATTCTTTATCCTACTCTCTCTCATTCTTATCCGGAAAAAATTAAAAGTTTCCCTAAAATATTTATTTATTTTACTCTATTAAGTTGCATACTGCTAATCCTTTACTAAATCAACCATTCATTTTCATCATTTTACCTTAGAAAATTCTAGTACAGCAAATAAAATATCTCTAAAATAATAAAAATAATTTAAATAAAATAATTTTAATAAAAATAAAATCTTCCGCAGTAAACTGTTGTCAAATTGAAAAAATTTGAAATTCGGATTTTCCCCTTTTTTTAATCAATTTTTTTTGTTTAATTGGACTAACCATTTTCTCAAATTCTAAATTTCAAATTTGCTCATTGCCATCCTTTTTTACCTCATATTTTATATTTTCACCTCAAAAATTAAAACATTATTGATTTTACCTTATCCATTTTTTTCTAGTCACTAAAAAAATTTGAAATAGCGAAAAATACTCATTTTACCTTTTAGCAACAGAAAATCATTAAATGATCAGAGAAGTTGTGGTTTTTATGTCTAGAAAGTGGTGAGAAGTTTTTTAACTTTTGGGTGAAGATGAAATTGTTGGTGGTTGTGGTTGCACATGCGAGCGGTGGAATCTTTCTTTTTTCTTTTTGTAAATATACTTATTCTCTTTTTTTTATTAACATAATAAATATAGATAAGATAAAATAAAAAAGGCTTTGAATATCTTATGAGGCGAAAAAGTAAAATAAGATGTTAAAAGATGTTTTTAAAAAAGATATTAAAAAGATGATAAATTCAAAATATAAACTTTTGTAATTTGAAAAATGTGGTTAATTGGCTAAAAATATAGAATTATAGTGAGAAAGGTAAAATAAATTCTGAATTATTTTTTTCAATTTAAATTTTCTTAAAATAGTTTATTGTGTAATTTGTTATAATTTAGTTATTATTGTAGACTTGTTTATTAGTTATATTACCATTTAATTATTTTTGGTTTTCTGAGTAAAATAGTGAAAAATTATAGTTGGTTTAGTATTCGATCAGCATAATACAAAAGTAATGAGAAGAAAATAAATATAGTGCACCCTCCAGGAAGGCTTTCCGAGTATTAGATCGAAGCGCGCGCGTGCGTGGAGTCTCCCCCTAATACTACCCCCTTCCCCATAGGCTTCACCCTACATGTAATAGACTAGGTACTTGTAATTGTGTATAAAAAAAATAAATAAATATATTTGGATAAAGTTTAGTGTGTCTGAGGTAAAAGTGAGACAGAGTAGACTAAACAATTTAGTAAATTTTATATTTTTAGATAGTAAGATTTAATTAAGATAAACAAAAGTAAATGTAATAAAATTGAAAAAGTAGTAGGGAAAAGTTATAATTTGGGCTCAATTAAGAAAAATTTAAAACAAAATTTGGGAAAAATTGATAACTTATAAACATTAGAGAAAATCTGTAATTTTAATTTCTTAAAAATAATTAAAAAAAATTAGGTTTCGAGGGAATGGCGACCAGATATGGCGAATAAGAGCAATTTTGTAATATAAATTAAAAAAAAAAACTATCAGGACTAATGTTTTCATGCGCAAAATATCAGGGATCAAAATTAAATAAAAATTTTTTTAGAGCCTAAATAAAAACGCCTTATAATAAGGACTATACGGAGTAATTTGGAACCAAAACAAAGATTTTTCCATCTAAGTTATAACCGATCGTCCCACATCCGCCGCCCCCGCCGACGCCGCTCCCGGTCCCCAAATCGCCGCCCCCACATGAATAGGAAATTAGACGGAGCCGGAGAAGCGTCCTCCTCGAAGCTCCAATTACCGGTTCCCGGAACTTTACAATCCAAATATCGTCAACCTTGGTTAGTGTACTTCCACGGCCGGGGCCGCCGCCACAACCAAACCTTTTGTGATCTTTCATCATCTTCGTCTCCTTCTTCTGGAGTAATTGCAATTCCCAAGAGAATCCCTGAATTGGGCAATGACCGAAGGGTTTTATACTGTTCCCCAGATGGCGATTGGTTACTTTTGCAAGAGAAAAACTGCCTTACACAATCCTTCTTCTTGTGGAATCCCACGACGCAGGAGGATTCAATTAAGCTGCCTCTTCTGAGACATTTCCTCCAGGAGAAGTCAATTCATCAGGGCTTGTTATTGTTGTCTTCGTCGAATCCCAACCCTTTGGTAATTTTATTCGTTTTGGAACTATGTTTAATCTTATATTGTCGGGTTGGGGACAGAAGATGGACAGAATTCGATTATGCTGAAAGGATTGAATCTCAAACGGGGTTACCTTTTGGACGAGATTATTACCTATGTAGCCCTGTTGTTTTTGATGGTGAAATCTATGCTACGGCTTCTTGCTATACTGATTTTGTTGTTTTTGATGGTGAAATCTATGCTACGGCTTCTTGCTATACTGATTTATTGAGAATTCACATTGATGATGACAACAATTGTGAGGTTATTGTATTGTCAGAACATCCATCTAAGCATCTTAATTCTCCACCCTGTAAAAGTTCTCGTGGGATTTTCTTGGTGCCAATTGGGGACGAACTTTTTCGAATCCTGATTTCCCCTGATTTTTTCGATAGATATGGAGAAACTCTATCAATTACCATTTCCAAGTTTGATTTCTCCTCAAAGTTATGGAAAACAGAACTACAGCCATGTTTGAATGGAGGGTCAGTTTTCCTGTGCAATTTCTACTCCCTTTACTGCAGCAACAGTGGAGGAGGCCTGGATGATGGTTGGAGTTACATATATTTTACAGTTGAGAATGATCAAAATTTGTTCTCATACAGGGTTGAGGATGGAAGGTTAACATCATATTCAATTCTTCCAACAGTGTTACAAGGATCTTGGATTTCTCAATGGATTATGGCTCATGTTGCGCCGCCGCCAGAACCTGACGTCCTACATTGTTACAGTGATATGCTATTGCAACCCAGTGACGCCGTGGATCCCTGGAAAGAGCGAGAACAAGAGATTTCGTGGAGGAACAGAGTAAGAACTCAGAAGAGGTTGAAGACATTGGAATCTGAAACTGTTGGGAATTTGGAGGCAATGAAATCAGAAACTTTTGGGAACTTCGGATCACCTTCACTGTGTGATCTATCACAAGAGGTACTTGGCCTGATATCCGAAAACCTATCTTTCGTTGATTACATGCTCTTTCGTTGTGTCAATAAGGTTTGCTCCTCCGCGACTATCCGGATGAGGGTGAATAGCTTCCCTCCATGCTTGATATATAAAGACAGTTTTTATGGTGTTTACAATATAGTTGATTCCAACCTTAACCATAAAATCTCCATAAATGTTTCAGAGGCCCTGAAAAACTATGTGATTTGTTGTTCTAGAGGTGGTTGGCTACTCATGAGATACGAATCGGATTATGTTTTCTTTAATCCGTTGACAAGTCAAGTAGTCCGTGTGGGAGGTAAACCAAATCTGGGGTGCTCGATTATGAACTTTACCTTCTTAAATAAACCATCCTCTCCTGATTGCACAATCCTCACAATGGCCAAGTTTAGCGAGTCTTCCAGGAGACCGCACTTTGTTCAACGCTGTCCACAACTAGGAGCAATGAAGTGGTGGACATTGATGGCAGGAGAGCAAGGCATACAGCGAAGTTTTGACCAGAATCGCAATAGTCCAGTACAGTTGGGAGAATTTTGTTACTATTTAAGCGATGACGGGAGAGTTGCGCGTATCAAATTCGCTGCAGATGGACAATCCTCTTTTCACTGGGAAATTTTAAGCATCCGTGTACTTCCTGTGTCAAATGTGAGACTGAACTACCTAACTGATTGTGGAGGAAAACTTGTAGCTATACTTATAGGTGACAAAAGCGGTGGAAATAAACCATGGATTCGGGTTTTTAAGCTGAAGGAATTTAAGAAATGGGAAGAAATCCATCAGTTGGAAGGTTATTCTTTATGTCTAAGCTGGTCTTCATCAATATCTGTTCTCACAGAAACACCAGAAATGGCGAATAGGATTTATTTTCCCAAGTTCTACAAAGATGAATTGGTCTATTATTCTTTGGACACCAAAACATATCATTCTGTAGGGAGCCAACATGATCTGGAAAGCTTAAATGAAACTAGCATGTATATGGATTGTGCTTGGATTGAACCAAGTTGGAACTGAAGTTTTTACAGGTGGAATTTCTAGGTTTATAGTTCATTAGTCGTTTGTGATGATTTGATTAGGAAAGATTTAGAAATAAGAGCTTATTCCCTCCATTTCAAAATGTAGGTCGTTTTAGGTTTGGAGAGATTTTTCAAAATGTAGGTCGTTTTACAAATTCTAGACAAATTAATGACTATTTTTCTAACTTTACCCTCAATAAATGATGCCAATATATTTTAATTTAGTCTCGTTTATAATTCTAATGTAATTAATGAAGGGTAAAACAGATACTAAACACATAAATTAATTATTGGATGATTGTTTCTTTAGCGGTTGTGCATTTTTTAAGTAGTAAGCTTATGAGAACCCTGTTTGCAAGTCAACTCTGTTTCAAGAACCAGTTTTGCCACAGTTGTAAGATATGATGAGCAAAGAAAAGATTTGATTGTCGAGGTCTCAATGAATAGTTAATTATACACGCTAACAATGAAAAATAAAATAAAATAAAAGATGCAAGAGTCTGCAAATGTAATTTAATTTCTTCTATGATTACAAATCTCCAGGGCTCCAGCAAAAATATGGCTTGTTACACGGTGAGCTGTCATTTAGTCAATGCACCAATTACAAGCAAATCTAAATGGTTAAACTGGTTATTTTTTGTTCAGAAATGTCCTCCTAGAGAAAACCAATTCAAACTTTGATAATTGATGAGCAGACGAAATAGAAAAATATATGATAATATGGATAGGTAGAAAAGAATTTAGAATAAAATAAGTTCGAAAATTATAATCAAATCGTTGAATGGCTATAGAAATGTATGCAAGATCATCTTTGATTTTCGGTACAGGTATTAATTTGCATGGTCTATCATGGCCAAACAGCGACGGATTCAAGGGGGTCAGGGTGGTCGATCGACCCCGGCCGGTCGGATTTGGCCAAATTTTTCATAGTAGAGTGTCCATTAATTGAAATTTTTTCAGTTCGACCCTCTGGTGACGGTTGAATAATCTTATTTTCGATTTTGTGATTTGAAAGTTCTCGTTCCGTCGTTGTGGCCAAAGTACAAAGTGGTCCGAACATGTTATTTCGTGTTTTTTTTTTCTTCGAGATATAATAAATGAATAAACGCAATAAATTAAAATAGATCGCGAGAGTGAGTGTTTCGTGAGTAACTTCTTTATTCATTTGACTTCCTAATGTATAATGGAAAAAACGCACACATTTGACAAAAACCATGGTTTGGAATTTGACTTAAAAAATTCATTGGGTTGAATTTTCTTACATCAGTTTGAATGGCCTTTTTTTTTTTTTTGCATTTTTTTTGTTTTTATCACCACGAGCTGCTGATTCTACACGTTGTCCAACATTGTTGCAAATATTAATTTTGTCTTTCACATCATTTTCACGTAGAAAAAATCCTCTCTTTCTGTCTCTATCCTCAATCCAAACACACACAGTCACACAGTTGCTACATATTTCACATGGGTTCTGTTCATATTCTATGCATAATCAACTCAACTCTATATGCTTGCTGTCTGCCCTGCGTATCAGTCTGTTTTTGTGGTGGGCATCTGTCTTTTTCTTCCCTTTTAATTTCCAGGGGGGGTCATTAATGTAGTACTTTTGAGCTGATCATCAAGAAAGAAGTAGTAGTGCTCTTGGAGAAAAGGGCAAAAATGATGTTCCAAAGTTGTTTTCTTGTGGTAGCTTTAGTGATCATTGGGATAACAGCAGGAGCTTTCTACACAGTGGAGGGTCAGCCTCATCGAATTCTTTTGGATACCGATGTCGACACTGATGACTTATTTGCTCTCTTGTATATTTTGAAGTTGAACAGATCAGAATTTGATTTGCAGGTCATTTTCTTTCAGTTTAGTGATCATGTTTTCTTTTTCTCTTTTTTTTTTTGGTTCTTTTCTCCCTGTTCTGTCATACATTTTGCCTCTGAATTTTTTAAAAGAATTTAAATGGAAGTGATGAATTTGGAAGAGTGATATCTTGTAGAAGGTTTTGAAGTACAATAGATTCATCAATGAAAAAAGACCATTGATTGGCAAAAAGGATACGTGATCCTACATTCATTTTCAGAAAGGAGTAGATAATCTAATTCAGGACTACATCTTTAGGACTGCCACCAAAAAAAAAAAAAAACCTGTTGCAAGGTTGCTGATATGAAAAAAGCTAATTGGAAACTTTAATCCGCCTGATAGATTTGTTTGTTATGTTATGTTGTTGGTTTTTGTAGCTATGCCACTGCCTTTATTAGAATGTATGAATGAGAACAAAAGCAAGATGATGACTGTCATTATTGCATTGTGAACTGCAGGCAGTTACCATAAGCGCTAATGCGTGGACTAATGCCGGGCATTCTGTCAATCAAATCTATGACATTCTTTACATGATGGGTCGCGATGACATTGCTGTTGGGGTGGGAGGTGAAGGTAGCATTTTGAATGATGGTACTATTCTCCCGAATGTCGGAGGATATCTCCCTTTGATTGAACAGGTGCACCAAAATTTTTCAGCATCAATTTCACTGATATCTTTATAAGTTTTAATTGAAAGGACACATTAATACTCATACCATTTATGCATACGAGTTCTTTTCAATGCTAATGTCCTACTGAAGTAGTTCCTTCTGCTTTATTAGTGGATTGGTACAGCTGGATATTGCAGATATAGACAAGCCATTCCAGTAGGTTCTGGAGGTATATTAGATATCGACACAAACTACGGTTTTCGCAAAGGTTTTCTGCCTCAGGTATGGATAAATGACCTGAATATATATATATTCAGACAAAAGAATAGCCTTAATAAAACTCATTTGAATATGGTTGCACCATTCAAATGCATGCTTGTATCTTCATAACTTTGAGATTGCATGGCTGCTTTTTGACTCCAGGGTAAAAGGAGATACTTACCTCTCCTGCAGCCGACTGCTCAGCAAGTGATGATTAACACAATTTCTGCGGGTCCAACTAATGTTTTCATAATTGGAGCACACACAAATTTTGGTGTATTTCTTATGAAGAATCCCCATCTGAAGAAAAATGTTAAGCACATTTACATCATGGGTGGTGGTGTGAGATCAAGTAATCCAACTGGTTGCTGTCCGAAGAATGCCAGCTCATCTTGTCAACCACGGCAGTGTGGAGATCGTGGCAATATGTTTACAGACTACACTAGTAATCCATATGCAGAGTTCAATATATTTGGAGATCCTTTTGCAGCATACCAGGTGCGGGATTTGCACATAAGATCAGTAATAGGCTAATAGCACATAAGAACTGTAACTTTCCTTACACCTGCAATGTAGGTGATCCACTCAGGCATCCCAATCACTCTTGTTCCATTGGATGCCACAAATACCATCCCTATAACAGAAGAATTCTTTGCGGCGTTTGAGAAGAATCAACATACTTATGAAGCACAATACTGCTTCAAGTCCTTAAAAATAACTCGTGACACCTGGTTTGATGATCACTTCTACACGGTATGGTCTTGGAATTGTGTTATATTTAGTCATTATCCTGACTCAAAAGCACATGACGCATACTGTCGATAGGAACATCTCACGAGTGCCAACTCCTTGCAGAGTTTTTTCATGTGGGACTCATTTTTAGCTGGTGTAGCAACTTCCATTATGCGCACACCACATAACAAGCAAGGGCAGAATGATTTCGCAGAGATGGAGTTTATAAACATAACTGTTGTAACTTCAAATGAGCCATATGGAATATCAGATGGCTCAAATCCATTTTTTGATGGGCGTAAAACCCCCAAGTTCAATTTAACAAGAAATGGTATTCACAGTGGCCATGTCCAGAATGGACTTCGTGATCCTTTTTGCATTGTGAAGAATGGAAAAGGAAGATGCCAGGTACGTACTAGTTTGTTTCCAGAAATTGTATTTTCAGCGTACAAGTGTTGGTTTCTATCTGCAAGCTGATCCAAACCTCTGATTCTGCCTTTCCATATGTTAATTGTTCACATTCACCTAATCTCTAAAGCATTTTATACCGAACAGGATGGTTATACTAAAGCAGTCGCTGGTAAAGAAGGTGTACAAGTGCTTGTCGCTGTGAGGGCAAAGCCTAATCGCGATGAGCGCAGTTCCCTTAACAGAGAGTTCTACAAAAGCTTTTTAGATGTATGTGGATTCAACCCTTTGATTTTTGTTAAAAAAGATGGAATTCTGCATTTGCAATAATTCTGTCATGACAGTGTATAAACAGAAAAAGCTAGATCCTGAGTAATCATTTTTGTTATATGTACACATTTTGTCTTGCAAATATCTTCTTTGGCAGGTTCTAAATCGTCGCCAACATTCTGGACTGTTCAACATCACCACGCAATTTCCTCACTACAAGGAAAACCTATACAAGCCTGATTTTAAAGGAAGGAAACTTGGCAAGGATGTTGTATTTGACATGGACATGAGTCCTGGAGATTTTCTAGCACTCTTTTATCTTCTAAAATTACCTGTTGAAACTATCAATCTCAAGGTGAGAAAAATTTTCTTCTACTTTTCACAGCTCCATTCATTAAAATTTATGCTGTTTGGGTTCATCTTGGCCATGTCCAACCATAATCAGAATTGAAAACTAACATTGTAGGCAATACTGATTACTCCAACTGGATGGGCTAATGCCGCAACCGTAGATGTCGTATATGATCTACTGCACATGATGGGTCGTGATGACATTCCGGTCGGCCTAGGAAATGTGTTTGCTACTAATCAGTCTGATCCTGTTTTTCCTCCTGTGGGAGATTGCAAGTATAGAAAGGCCATTCCTCACGGTAGTGGAGGATTTCTAGACTCGGATACTCTTTATGGCTTAGCTCGTGATTTGCCACGAAGTCCAAGAAGGTATGTTCCACCACTTTACTTACTTTTAGTTAGTTTTATTGCATAAAGAGAAAACTTTGAGATGTCAATGTTTAATGCAGGTACACTGGAGAAAATTCGGTTAAATTTGGAGCTCCTAGAGATACTGATCACCCTGAACTCAGACAACCCCTTGCTGGTGAGGTCTGGCAGTCGGTACTGAAATCTCTTGATCCGAAGTCCAAAGTTACCATTTTGACAAATGGACCCTTAACTACTCTGGCACAGATTGTTGCTTCAGGCCAAAATATGACCTCTGTAATTCAGGTATAGCTCTTTCGAAACTTACATGTTGGTGGCCAGGTGACTTGTTGATGCAGCAGATAAAACTAATGAATGAGATTGTGATGCAGGACATAATCATTGTTGGAGGCCACATAAATTCCAAAAACAGTGAAAAAGGAAATGTTATCAATGTTCCCTCAAATAAGTATGCAGAAACTAACATGTTTCTGGATCCATTGGCTGCAAAGACAGTTTTTGATTCAGAACTTAATATTACCCTCATTCCTCTAAGCATTCAGCGCCAAGTCATAGCTTTCCTCAAATTGCTTAATATTTTCAATGTGACCAAGAAGACTCCTGAGGCCTTATTTGCGCAGAACCTGATATCAAACTTGCATCACTTGAAAGAGGCTCATCCCAGATACAAACATGTGGTACTTTTCTATTCTCTTCACATGATCAACAAGAAACAATAATGAGCTGTTAATCACAACAATATACGTAATACTAACAAATTTATACAATGTAAGCTTATTGTTGAATCTTGGATCAATTTAAAAGTGATTTACTTGTCTCAGGATATATTCCTTGGAGAAATTCTGGGTGCTGTAGTCCTAGGTGGTGATCATTCAGTTTTGAAGCCACAGTTCGAGATGAAGAATCTCAAGATCTCGACTAAAGGCGTTGAAGATGAAGACGGGCAGATTAGGATTGATAGAAAACAAGGAAAACCAGTCAGAGTACTGGAAAATGTTAACCCCAGTGCTTACTATAACCTCTTTGCAACTCAACTTTGTGCCAAGAACCAGTCTGCCATTGTTGGAAGCTTTGATGAGCAGAGAAGAAGAATATGGAGTTGAAAGGATTGGTTATTTGCAGAAAGAATTCCTTTTTGGAGATTTGTTTGGAATTGAAAATTGGTTTTATTTTATATCATTGAAACCTATACATTCAAAGAAGATAAGATTACAAAGAAATAAAAATAAGAACACAACATCAAAACCTCTGAAATCTTAAACAGGACGTCCAAAAGAAACAATAATGAACTCAGAATAATTTCTTGCTTCAACAACAAGAAGGCTAATTCCTACCCAACTCAAAATTAATAGTCTTTCTCCCTTCACGCTTATATGAATGTAATTTTGGTAATAATAATTTATAAAATTTTGCTGTCAGTATAAAGTTTAAGCTCTCACTTTATCAACCCCCTAAATATATATGCAGAACAAATGAACATGTTTCTGGATTCATTGAGAGGCAAAGAGTTTTTATGCATAACTTATTACCACACTTATTCCATTAGAGCAATATTACACTTGCAAAGTCAGTAGTTTCTTCGGTTTTTATTTTACATTTTTTGCTCCATACTCAATAAGAAAATGCTTACAAAAGGAAAATTGAAAATGAGAGAATCCCAACTCATATTGATGGAAGCAATGCTTGCTTGTTTAGTTCACTTAGAAGACTGTAAAAGAAGAGAATGAAAAGTTGAATCCTACCTAATACATATATGATAAGGAAGGCAATACCTCTTTCAGTCAGTTAATGATCTGTAAATTTGAAGCTCTAATCTTCTTTCTGGAGTTTTGCAAAAAAAATTATATCATGAAACTAATTAATGTCATAAGCAATGTGCAAAAAAATTGGATCTAAACATTACTCCCTCCGTCCCATAATTATTGTCCAGTTTGGATTTTCATTTCTAGTTCAAATTGTACTAAAGTTGAAATCTCAAAGTGGACAATAATTTTGGGACAGAGGGAGTATATTTTTATAGCGCAATCTATCTGAATCTGATGATGTTTACATATAAATAAAAACAAAATAACAAAATAAGGAGAAAGAAGGGAAAAAAAAAAGAAAAGAAAAAACAAGAAGGTTTATCACTAGAACCGAATGATGCTCTTCGATCAAGTCTTAACACACAGCTCCAAAAAGAAATACTATACAAAAAGATCGGATTTTGTTAATCCTCAATCCTCAAACGTTTGATTTGTTGGTTCATCAACAAAGTTGTATTGCTAGAACAACTAGAAGGGAGATTCCATCCTAACTCAAAACGAATTAATGTGTGCTCTTCACAGTACTTGCATACAACATTTGACAAACTCACCCAATTATCTTGAAGCAGTTTCGGGCATTTTTCTTGTTTTTGGTGAAAAACAGACCTCCGAATTTCCTTTAGCCTGCCCTGATTATGCATTTCAATCAACTTTTGCTGCAGGGAATCAAACATGCATAAAGCCCTTCCATTGTCAAACAAATGTAGGGTGATAGTACTAGGACAGCAATCCAAGAACGAACCATCAAATACCTCAGCGGAAGGTTCCGACAGGTTGCCATTGTTGTCTGAATCGAATCCTCTTCTCAAAACGAATTTCAGTGATATTTGGGACGGAACTAAACCCGACAACATTTTGTTCAGGCTTAGAAACCAGGACCTATCTTTAACAGAATGAAAATATAGAGCTACACGACATTCCAATCGTGGGGAACCAGCCATCAAACATACTTTTGGAAAATTGTCTCCAAATACACCAAGATCAAAACTTGTGAGGCTGGGAGCACTAATCTCTACTTCGTGTGTCGCCCCATCATCGGAAGGACTGAAACTTAGATTCCTGAGTGAACCACTTGTTAACTTCGGTTTTGCAAAGCCATGGCAATCCCAAACAACGAGCGATCTTAGCTGTGGAAATTTGTTCCCGAAATCGCCGTCAAAGAATGTCCCATTAACAATCATGTTCTCTAATTTCAAGCTCTCCAGGTTTTGATGTGCTTGAAATCCAACTAAGCCGGGGTAACAGTTCCCGCAAACCTCAACTTCTTTGAGGCAGCTGGGGACATTGATCAACTCCACTTTTCTCAACTTTGGGCAGTACTCGATCCTCAGATGCTCAATCGATGGACATCCCGCGAGGAAGGAAGTAAACGAATCATTGTCGATTGTGACTCTCATCAGGACTAAACTGCGGATGTTTGTACGTAAAATCGGAACATTATTCAGTTTGTTCGGAAACTCGCAAAATCCAAGAGACAACCTTGTCAAAGATTTGCCCGCAATAAGGAAGGAAGAAAAGGTATGGTGATCCATTGTGACATGTCGCAACTCTAAAGTGTGGATGTTGCTACACAAAGCCGTCGAAATATTGTTGCTATTCATCTTGTTCGGAAATTTGCAATTTTCAAGGGACAACATTGTCAAAGATTTAGCTTCAAGAATGCAGTCCGGTATAACGTAGCATGAACCACCATTAGGATGTTTGAGATGAATCTTAAGCTCTTTGACTCCATTCTCTACAGCTGTTTTCAGCCATTTATCCAAGCGGGTTGCATCAACATCATCATTGAAATCCGTCATGGTAATTTCAAACTGATAACAAAGCCACAAGTTCCCTTGGGATTTGTATCTCAGCAAAGTATCATCGACATCCTCTTGATTATTCCCATTAAATACAAATTTGGGGTACGTGCAAAAAGCGTCTGACCATTCATCAGATAAACAACGAGCTTTTTCTTTGTCGTTAGTGCTGAGAAAAGACAATATCCGATGAATAATATCTTCCGGCAACCAACCAAAACCGTTTGTTTTTTCTTTTTCCGCAGCCATGGCGACGAATAAGATTGTAAAATAAGACACACGAAAGATATAATCCGGTAGATGAAGGCCAAAAACAATTCCTTGGGAGAGTATATGTCAGTGCTCAAATCTTAAGGACTGCCAATAAGGACCAAGGTGTATATATATATATATATATATATATATATATATATATATATATATATATATATAAGGATTATATGCAGAAGATTTGGTAATCAAATCCTGTTCAGTTCCTAAAATGTTTGGGGATCAAAGTCACGTAATTACGTAAGACGTTATTATAATTTTTTTTTCCTTTTTTTTGGGGTGACTAGAATTCTTAATAGGTATTGAATTATTAGGCTTTTCCTAGACGGAGTCAAACTCCTTTGCAAGTAAATTTGCCAAAACCGAAAAAGTATTTTAATTTAGTGAAAGTTAAAATAGTCGATATTATCAATTCCTTTTTTTCCCCCTCATATGTAACTATTTTCCATAGCATTACCACTTTGTTAAGTCGGTGTGATCATTTAGGCCTATATATTACTCACTCCGTCCCATAATTATTGTCCACTTTGCCCAAAAAATTTTGTCCCAAAATTATTGTCCAATTTGACTTTTTATGGATCAAGTTACACATTTGTCCTTAGTAAAAAACATTATCCATAAAATCTTAGTGGTTAAACAATTACTTATGTAGGGATATATCCGGTTGTTTAAGGTAAAATATAATTAAATTTGACCAAAAATAAAATCTTTCATTTTAGTAAAATTGGACAATAATTATGGGACGGAGGGAGTACCTAAAAGGAACAAATCCTTGATAACTCTCCTAAAAGCAACTAGGAAATTAATTCAGTATTACTTTCATCCTAATATACTTGTTATGTTTGGGACAGAATCGAAAGGATGGCATGATGTAAGTTTTTGCCAAATCTAAGTCATGTAAGTTTACCACAAAGCACGAAAATTTTTGCACAATTTGGACCACAAGGGAAAAAAAAAAAAAAAAAAAAACAAAAAAAGCACAAGGATTATCGTTAATATCTTAAGTCAAAACACAATTAAGAAAAAACATCATAGCAGAAGTGAATCAAAAGGGTTATGAGAGGAAAACCTAAATGAATAAAAAAATTTGTAGATACAAAAGCCTCACTATAAAGACCAACCTGTGTATGCATTAGCAGTACTAATCTAGTAATTCACAAGAAAACTCCACAACGCAGTAATCCAAATCCCTCAAAATGGATTCAGAATTCGGTCTTCTTATTAATTTGTAGCTAGTCAAGTAAGCATAAGTCAAAGAAATCGCCTCTAAGAAAGAGTTGTTAGAACAGCTGGTAGCCCAAGACAATGAAAAGTAGAAACGAAAGAGCTAAAACTACAGAGAGCCAAAGACAATGGAGTATATAGAATTGTGTAACATAGACAGAGAAACAAGATAATGCCCAGTCGCAGATTGGGTCAGATTTGAAGGAAAATTGGTCTTAGTTTATAGTTATGTAAGCCTAATTCACGTCACATGAGCAAGAACTTCTTTCTATATGGGACGCAAAAGAAAAGGAGAAGACCAAATAAAACTAAAGAATTTCTTTCTATCTGGAAAGCAAAAGAAAAGGAGAAGACGAAATAAAACTAGTTACTAAACTCAAAACTAGTCACACGCTCCATCGACGGACACCCCGCGATAAAGTAACAAAAGATATCAATGTCGAAGGTCACGGAATACATATCTAAAGTGTGGATGTTTTTACAAAAAAACAGAGTACTCTGTTTCTTCTTCTTCTTCTGTAAGAGAGTATCCGAAAATTTGTAACAGTGATGGGACCCAGTCAAGTAAGACAAGGGTCAAACTATTATCAAGACCCCTGTTATCCAAACGCGAAGCGGATCTAAGGTCGGGTCTCCACTTGCACACAATGAGACCCACAGTTACCACTTATAGTTACAAAGGGAAAAGCGCTTCGTTGACATGATCGAGCTACCACAATCATTTCCAGTAAAGAAGACAGAGGTGGTGGATCAGAAGGATAAGGCCAGCCAGAGAGAAAACAACAGACCAGACAAAATTGTTCTGACCGTAACATCACATGCTCCTAGACGATGCAGACCCTTGATCTTGATCTTGATTCTACCTATATATACATCACTATGGCCTCCAAGATTAAGGTTATGTAATCACTATTTCTCTTAGCCATTTTACTCCCATATCTTCTAACTTAGACATTGGAGTATTTGCCCGGGGCTCGACCTGGGACATACATTAGAGATCTCTGTTTTACAGGAGGAGCTAGTGATTTACTGAAAATCGGTGGTGGATAATTCGACCTCCATCATCTGGCGCCGACTGTGGGGAGACATAGTACATCGCTTAGAAGTGTTCCTCTTTTCCGCCCATAATCAACACTAAAGCAACCTCAGGGTAAACGCCTTCCATGGTTACTCCAGGGAACGAACAGAAAACTCCTGGAGGAGACCACATGGTGTTCACCGCCTCACTCACTCTCTGGGACACCCCGGAGGAAGGATCGTCCCGGCCTAAGCCGACGGCAGAAGAAATACAGGAGTTTGTTCGTACAAATTTCCATGAATTAGAGTGTTTACTCCAGAACAGTAAGCAAAATGATAAAGGAAAGGAACCGGCGGATTCGAAGGAATAGAGGAGAACCTCCTTTTCAAATCCCAGGCAGCTGTTTTCAGACGAAGAAGAAGCCCTCTCAAAGGGCATTACATCATCAGCAGCAGCTCTTTCGGACGCGACGATGAAGAGTCCGCTCCACGAAGAAACAGATTCCCGACGCCTAAGGTTACCAGGACACCGTCTTCTGATAGCCGGCAGGAAGGGCGATATCACCCGTATACTCATTATGGGTCGAAGAATATGGAAGGAGCTCACCCTTCTCTTCGGAGATAGAGAAGTACACAGCGGGACAGAAGTTTAAATGCCCTCAAAATATAGGCATGTATGACGGAAGTTCCAATCTGGACGACCATTTGAACGTGTACAACTCGGTTATGAACCTGTTCGCTTATCTGATGCCTGTGTGGTGTCAGCTTTTTCTGATCATGCTATGGAACCGGGCCCGGTTGTGGTTTGACAGCCTGGCTTCCAGAAGCATCCACTCTTGGACACAACTCGAGGAGGCCTACACTTCTTGCCACAGAAGAAGTTCCGGAAAGCCAGAAAAGAGCTGTTTACTATTAAGCAAAGGGATCAAGAGACGTTGCGTGCTTATGTAGAGCGTTTCGCTAAAGAAAGCGCACAAAAAGGATCTCAGTCCCACAAAATCTTGATTGTGGCTTTCATAAACGGGCTATGTCACGGAAGGTAGTACACGGAGTTTATGGAAGACCCTCTGGATACTTTCAAAGAAGTCCTGAAAAGGGCGAACAAGTATGCTAAGGGGAAAGAAGCCAACCGGAAGTGTACAAACGAGTCTCAGAGTGCCCGCAGGCCAAAAGTCAAGAGTCACGGTTCGTCACCATCTATCAGATGGTCACTCCGAGAACGTCTGGGGGGCATCAAGAGCTTCCGTAATCTCACTCCTTTGAACAAGACATCTAAAGAGATCCTAAAGATCGTCTCTGCGAAAAGCATCCTGAAGCTACCGCCAAAGATGAATAAGCCTACCTTTAAAAGGAATCGGAGCCTATATTGCAATTTCCATGGGGATCACGGGCACAATACAAATGATTGCAAAGACCTGAAGGGAGAAATAGAATGCTGCATTCACAATGACCAGCTCGCTAAGTTTGCCTTGGAAGCGCGGAAAGGCGAAAGTAACATTCGGAAGGAGGATCGAGCAGTTGAGGCTTCCGAAAAGGACATGCGAGGGCAGTACAACTGGAACAAAGGTCGTGATGGAGAAAAACCCAACAGAGAGGTCAATCAGGTGGTAACAAGAGATATTTTGAGCATTATTGGAGGACTAGTTGGGGGCGATTTGGAATCCCAAAGGAAAGCCCGATGCCGGAAGGTTCCAGATGAGGACGCGAACAACAGGAGGCTCAAGCCCTTGGAAACAATAACTTTCTCTTATGAGGATCCCGTTCCGGAACGACAGAGGAAGGACTACAAGGACTTACAAGATGAAGCTTGAATTCTTGACTTCATTTTCTACAGTTATTTTTAGCCATCTGTCTGAGCGAGCTGCATCATCATGGCTTCTATCAGATACAAAATCAAAGAAACAATTTGATGGGTACAAACCAAAGCTGTGAGGTTTACGTTGCGATATTGTTTCGACGAACTGAAATCAAGAAACTGTGCAAGGCTCATATAAGACAATCTGATGATTAACTCAATTGGATTAGGATTTCAAAATCATATTTGTTGAGTCGGTGTAATCAATTAGGATATCATCTAAAAAGGGTCCGATCCTCAGTAAGTTTCCTAAATCAACAAGTTAAATTACTACTCTGTCCGTCCCAAAATAATAGCCATGTTTGGATTAGAGCAAGTAAATACTAAATAACAAAGAGGCCAAAAAAGATGGCATGACAATTTAAAGTCTAATGTTCGGCAAATCTAAAATGTTGGCTCAATTTGCACAAACACAAAAGCACAAGGATTCTCATTAACATCTTAGTTAACCACATAAAAAACATCATAGCAGAACTGAAGCAAAAGGATTCTGAGATGACAACCTAAATGAATCAAAAACTTGTAGATACAAAAGCCTCGCTATCAAGTATCAAGACCAACCTTTTTATGCATTAGTACTGATCTAATTCACAAGATAACTCCACAATACAACAATCCAAATCCCTCAAAATGGATTCAGAATTATATAATCTCTTGGTCTTCTTCCTAATTTATAATAACTAACCAAGTAAGCATCTTCTTATTCAATCATTGGAATTGCTCCACCAGCTGCTTTGATCTTCTGCTCCAACTGTATAAGCAAAAAATTAAAGGACAAAATCAGAGCTTTGCTCCAGATTGGCAAAAAATAGTGTCAAAAGTTGACTCCAAAATGTAACATTTGGCAAGAAAAGCTGACTAGCTCACCATGAGTAAAGTTTGAAGCTCGTTCTTCACTAGCAGATATTCTTGCTTGACTTGCATTAAGCATTTTGAGCACCTAAAGCTCCCAACCATCACCAATTCAGTATAAACACCCAAAGATAACAGAGAATAGTTAAATCTAGTAAACCCAAAAATCGTAGATGCTTACGCTTCATCGTTCTGTTCTTCACAATAATTGCGAAAAGCAACGCATGCATTTTTAACCCTCTGAGCACCTATGCTGTTGAACAATAACAATATTGGTAAAGAACAAGGGCAAGACTCATAACTCACAACAGACATATTCCCAATCCTAAAATGATAATTCAAAGATAAACCTGGAACTGCTGCCCTTAAGCTGATGAACATGAGCATCAATCTTCTTGAAGTCCACATGCTGTTCTCTACAGAAAGGCAAAAGAATAACCAAAAGAACAAGGAAAAATTAGAAATGCTACTTCAGCTATGAAAAAAAAAAAAGAGGGCAAGAGACAGAATCAACCACAGCCTAAAAAGGGAAGTCTTCTTACAAAGCTCTAGCGAGATCATTGAGAAGTCTTTCAGAATCTTCAAAGAAAAGGGCAACAACTTCAACCACAAAATCTGGGTTGCTTTCATCTTGCAATTGTTGAAGCTGGCTAAATTGACTATCCAAGATTCCCTACCCCCAAAAAAAGGAAAAAAATAAAAGATTCAACACCATTAACACTAAAATCAAGCACAACCCTTTACTTAAATCAACCCAAATCACCAAAAAAAATCAGCTTTTTCTTTGATTTACCTCACGGAACAGAGATGCTAATTTATCCCGAAAGCTCCTCTGCATCTGAACAACAACATCCATCCTTCTTTCCCTCTGCTTGCAGTCCCTTGTTTTAAAGTCTCTTCCTTTCGGAATTTCAGCAGGCAAATTCAGGTACACTAATTGTAGCAGCAGAAGAAATCTTGGTAGAATGAATGCTTGAAAAGGATCTGGTGAATTTAATGGTGTCCTATAAGAAAAGAGAAGCCAAAATTTTGCCTTCTTTTGAGGTGAGTGAAGAAAGGAAGGGAGAAACAAAAGGAGAAAAACAGAATCACAACTTCCTTTAAATTATTCTAAAAAATTTTTATAGCATTATCAGTTACTTATTGCTGCCTCCCTTTCAACTCGAATAAGTCCAAAATGCCACTTCCACACCACAGTCCAAACTCCATCATCATTATGTGTGTTTACACTAACGTAATTTTTTTTTATCACGATTTGTTATTCTTAAAATTACGAAAATGTAACACAAAGTAAGAGTGTGTAAAACGTATAAGGTCAATTAATTAAAGATTGCAACTATTGAAATAATAAAACATGTAACACCACCTGATCGCCGCGCTTAGTTCATTTCCATCTATATCTTCGATATTTTAGTTTAAAATGTGATAATTATTGGGTGACTTCAAAAGTGATTTTAGACTTTAGATTGGTTTATATTTGGATTCCCACATTTTTTTAGACCCTATCACAACCATACTAGAATTATGCCATCATTATCCCATCCTAAAGATGCCCTTCCAAGCCATTTTCATTTTTGGTTCTTTCATCAACACAGATGTATAGAACACAAGAAAAGAGGGGCAGGGGGAGGGGAATCCTCTGACTCATCTTGTACAGTTTTTGATGACTAATTAATTATATCTCTTCACGCTTTGATCATAAAGTTCACAACCAAAGTGGAGAATATTTGGACATGTAAACTTTTGATTTGATGGTCATATTCTTCTCTTCAATATCATCAACAAGCAAATTAGAGTGGTGAACGAATAGATAGTCTTTATTGATATACAAACTAATAAAGAACATGCCTAAATAAGTACATTTCAGAGTTAGATTCTTGTTAATACTCCTTCCGGTCTTTAACATAAGACATTTTAATTTGTCCTAAGTTTCTAATATGGGTAGTTTTAGTTGACAAAAAAAAAAAAATCCTTAAGATTTTTTCCTCAATTAAAAATACGTAAAAGATGAAACTTAAGACAAATCAAAATATCTCATATTAATAACCCGAATGAGTATTTCAGATCAAACTATCAAGAATACAAATATTTGTTGCAGCCAAAAATGGGAAAGATTCCAATTTCCAAACGGGATGGAGTCACCCAAATTAATCAAACTTGTGTGGTTATAACTCGCCCCACTAAAGAAGACGAATTCTTTTAGGCCAACTTGTTGAGTAGAGTGAGGCCAAGGGAAAAAAAATGACACATTTTTGTGGTAACACTCCAAAATCCAAAAGGATTAGATCACATCAAAATATGATATATATATATATATATATATATATATATACACTACTAAACATTTGTTCTGACTAGTTCATCATCAAAATTTGAACGTGCATATTTTGGAAACATGTGATGATACTTATATGATCACGCTGCCTCTTTCATTTAAGTTGTCAGCTTTTAGTCTATAACCATGTGATTAACCCTGCTGGCTAGAGGACCATTTCAGTGTAGTACATTAAAAAAACCTTAAATCTTCAGAAAAGAAAATAAGAAAAAATTGTGTAAGAACAGGTCTTAGGTATATTGGGCTTGCGCTTTTGTCATTTAACGACAAATTCTCGAGTTCTAATACAAGGGTGTACGGTATTGTTTCCATTTTAACGATGTGTACAAAACACTATTATTATGATACTGATTTTCGCGTTAAGAGTGTTATTGTATCACAAAACTCACTTTTTAATGAAACGTATCTTCGGTTAGAGAAGACTTTGTCATCTATAAGCTAAAATAAACGTCGCTTGGCCAATTAGTTCGTGGCAGTTTAGTAAAAGCAATGAAGTATTCTGCAAATTTCAATGTAGCCATGATATTGGGTTCCATCAGCTAGCTTGACACGATTGTGTATATCATGATGGTCCAAAAGCTTTTCTGGGTATGATGCAACTCCCATATTTGACACCAATAATATGAATAAAAACAAGAAAATTAAGCCAGTGGGTAGAGTAGGACGACAGTAATTAAGAAAGAACCCCACTTTGATGCTCTCTTCTAGATGGTATGCCATAGATCGCTTTCTTTGCGCACCAAATCTTATATTAAAAACATTTTCCTGGAGAAATCTCAATCGCATTAGTGAAAAAAAGTAGCCAGACTTTCTATACTTTGCACAAGTGGAAACAAGATCCTGTTGCTTTTTTGGGGTGGAAACAAAATCAAAATTGTATGAAACTAAACTAGGAAGGAAGATAGAAGAAGATAAAGAAAGGGTATGACAATGAGTAAAAAAACACTGCTAAGAGTAAAAGGGGAAAAAAATAGACAAATCAACATTCTAGCAAACTTTGCAGCTCTTCCTACAGGACCCTGGAATCTCCGGAGATCCCACCATGTACTCGGGATTTTTAGTGCATTCACCTAGGGCTGCCCATCTCTCGCAATTGTCGTTTGCATCAGTGCAACCGTCAGATGATCCCAGGATCTTATCGAAGCTATCTACATGAATCCATTTAGTCGCAGACCATTTCTCGCCTTCAAGCACGGGGCAGCCACCGTGAAGACTCAAAGGGTCTGGAATAGCATTTGGATGCAGGCTGAAGAATAGAAGTGCATCTCCTTTGTGTGGTTTCACTGCAAAGTTTGTAGTTGCAAATTGAAAACAATGGAAATGCATGTCAACAAGCTCAGGAAATACTAACAGCATAAAATTTAGATAGTATGATATGTTGGCAGGCCTTACCTCCAATACCCTTCCTCCCACAATCAGATAAATCCTCGTCAGCTGTCATAGATCGACGCCGAGACGATTCCTGCAGAATAGTTCAAAAATTGTTGAATTTAATAGCATTGGAAAACTATGTTCCGCACAAGAAAGTCGGGAAGTCAAGCACAGAAGGTTTCATGTAGAAACAAGTATATAGCAAAGGGAATTGAGAACTCATTAAAAATCATAAGTTTATGTGAGGATGTCAGATTGTGCAACCAAAAGGGCATAAGTAGTAATCTAACCTCAGCATTGGGAAAGACAGTTTCACCACCCTTTTCAACATCAGTTAGATACATGAGAACAGTGGCTATGCGGTGTCCACCCCGAGCAATATTAACCTTGTCAGCAAAGTAATCATAATGAGGATCATACTTCTGCCCGGGCTCATAGCGAAGAACTTGTATGTCTTCACCATTTTCTGAAAAAGAACAAGTATAGACCTCCTTAGTAAACTGATCATTAAATGCCAAATCCCCTAAAATGTCTTCAACCGGACATCAGATAGAAGGCAAGAAGGCCCCATCATTAAGTTTTCGAAGAACTACGTTAGAAGCTTGGTTGAAAATGACATTCAATAACATAAAAGCACTATCACCAGAGTCGCCCGACATTATTAAAAAGCTTTCTACATCCGTTAGTATACCAGATGACATGCCCTCTAAATAGGCAGTTGATCTTATGTCACCTAAAAGCTGTTTGGGTATCAGTATAAGGGCCCTGAGAAGCCACAAAGCATCCATGATAAACTTATAGGCTATAGAACTATATTCGGAAAGGTTAAAAATGCTATCTACATAGAAGTGTTTGTATTTCTAAATGCATTTCCGTCCCGGTCATTCAAAATACTTCTGAAGTTGATTCCAGTTAAGCATTGAATCAACCCAACGTATGAAGCATTCTATTGACAACATAACAAGACTCCAACAATTAATTTCAAGAAACGGAATATTCTCTTGTATAAGCCACACCTTTGGGTAGGAATGTCCATGTTGAAATCTTCTCCTCGATGCCGGCAATTATGGGATCCTATAGCACGGAAGAATATATAAGGCATAGTACAGCTTAGAAAACCAAGAGGTGAGAGAACAGCATAGTCTAACTGTCAATCTTTGATATAAAAACAGCTTATAAGGCATAGTACAACTTATAAAGCTTCTTTGTTAACTCAAAGAGGGGAAAACAGCATAGTCTAAGCTGTCAATCTTTGATATAAAAACAAAAAGATTTTCGTCCCATCAAATCTCAAGAGGTCAAATCCCAACACACAAACACACAAAAGAGCACAAATGTGTGCTCTTTTCCCTTCTGCAGATAAAGTTGCAAATTCACTCTAAACTTTGCATCAGAGAAAAAGAACACTCAAGCTAGTTTCAACTATCCAAAAGAAAAATCAGAACTTTGCATTGAGCAAATATTTGCGTAACTGCATTTACGGACTAAAGAATTATGAACAGGCAGTATAGAGAATAGTAAAGATAAAAATCGAACCTTTCCTTTAGGAATAAACATCCCGGAGCTGGTCCGGACCTCACTCAGCTTACTCTCCCCTGACAAATTATCGGCCACCGCCGATCGTTTCAGCTCAGTTTTCGCCTAATTAACATCATTAACCACTCAAATAAAAAATAATTCCCAAATAATTTGAAAAAAAAAAAAAGTCACCAATGCAAAAGACTGGAAGTCACCAGAGATATCAAATGGTTGCATTCTTCATCCGTGAGAAATCCCTTATACACATAAGCTCTGAAATTGCAAAAGCCCACAAAAAAAAAAAGAAAAAAATAGAGCATGAAACAGAATTAGAAATCCTCATAAAGCAACTGGATGTGTAAATTACAGTGATAAATTACCAAAAACCAACCTGGGTTTGGACGAAATTTGCTTGACTTTGGAAGGATTGATGATGGAAGAGCTCCATGATGATTCAATGAGGATCGATAATGAGATCGAGAAGAAGATGAGAACAGAGATTCGCGGACTTTTCATGGTGTAATTTCACCTGGAAATAAAAATTATTATGGACAAAACCTCATTTGTCATTTTGGAAAGAGTTATGTTAGATTGAGTTTCTACTTTACTCCACTTGATTTATGCTTTTGTTTCTTTTCTTTATTTATTTTTTTAAAAAAATAACTAATACTCCATCAATTTCATCCCGATATTATTGTTCTGTATGTATTTTTTATTTTTAGTACAAATTGAACTAAAAGTGAAAATATTAATACTAAAAATGAAAATCTAAATTAAACCATAAGTTTATGACAGATGGAGTAATTATTAACACTTCAGAGTTATTGAGGAAAAATTTGTTAGGTACTCTATATTTACATTTCTTTTGAAAGTTAGTATTCAAAATTACTTCACTAAACCGGATTCAAACTATAAATATACTAGATGTTAAACTTGTCCGTTGCATGTGCAAATAAAATTAAATAGAAATTATAAAATAGATAAACTGTGAATGTAGTATCACTTTTACGAATTTCTTATGAAAAAAATATTAGGTCCAAACAATACACATCACTTTTACCAAACACAAAACAAAATTTATATGTTACAAAAATATCGTAGTACTTTTTAATATCAAATAAAAATTTGACCCAAAAAAAAGTAAAAAATGTGTAACCTCGAATGAGTTAATTGCATATCTTGCAAAATTTCTTTGTTAATTACATTTCTGATTTTTTTATTGATATTATTCTCTTCATCGTCGATTAGAATTTACATTTGTTGTCTCCAACAAACAATAAGGTCACACATAGTTGACCAGACTAAAAACTGAGCATGATAAATATAATCTCACTTGGAAGATAGATTGGTCATGTCTTTTATATATTGGCATCACAAAACAAATAGCCAAAGGTAATTGTCTCCTCGTTATTTTAAATAAATATTTAGTATCGAATGGCTAAAGCAACATCCGAGGTACATATATAATATCACACTCATTAGTGCCTGAAATCACCTTTGCATAAAATGATACACTTCTCTAACATCATAACTCGAACCCTTGTACTACTCCACCTTCCTGATCAAAATTCCTTAACAACATGATCAGAGTACCTACTTTGAACTTTATAATTTTGTGTTAAGACATATCAACATATTTAATATTGTCAAGAAAATCAGATGTAATTATATCTTTTGAGTATTTATACCGCCTTGTGTGTTGCATATGCTATATGAACTTAAATACTTTATTTCTTCTTCGTCTATAATGAACAATATATCATCATCATGCGTTAATACGAAATTTGCTATTTTTTGAGATGAAGAAAATTTTCAAGATTATCAAAACAAATTGACATATTTACTGTTGATAATATTTTCAACGAAACTTCCTTCAACTTCCATGAACATATCCACAGGTATTTCAAACTTCGCCTACAATTTAGTTCTGCATGTTTTCTTTATCCAACCTTCAAAAGTCATTCAAAAAATTCCCTAACAATATAATTTAAATGTTTTCTTTAGAAACCATTGTATGGAGACGCGTTAACTGACAAATTGAGTTGCCTTGAAGTCTTGTGTTGTAGCACTCTTTTTTATTTGTTCATATTCAGCTTTTTCCCTGAAAATGAAAAGGCCTCAGTTTTGGATTATGAGAAGTGAAACATTTTGTTGGAAACTCGATAATTCATGGCACTTACAATTTAGCAGACTCTAATGCCACAAACTGATTTTCAGGCAAACTAATCCTTTTATTTGCTATAGCACTAATATTTCAATAGCCTCTGGTAGCATAAACAAACTAATTCTCCTACAAACTAATCCTTTTATTCGCAGTAAATGTCCTATTCTCAAAATTTGATACCATACATACATGATCTTACATTGTCCAAATTTAAGTTCTTAGATCAACAACAGGCATTTTTTCAAAAATTAGGTCTTAGTTTACCAAGTGTTGTTATTAAAAATTCAATTCTTTTCAAAGAGTAGGAACCTAGAGATTGAGTGAGTCATTAAACCATGGCTTTAAAATTCTACGACTCTTCTTGGTTAGGTACATTGCAATGACCTATTTTACACATCACTTGTCTATGTTGCTACGGCTTCTTGTAAAGCTTGAAGTTTTGGAACTCGACTAAACTGGATTCAAACTCTATATTTACATTTCTTTTTGAAAGTTAGTATTCAAAATTACTTGACTAAACTGGATTCAAACTATGTAAATATATATTCTCAATAAATATTTGGTGAAATACTCTGTTTATACGCTTTTCTACCATGTGATTTATTTATTTTAAACATCCAAAAGTAGAAAGAGAGTATTATATAATTAGAGAAAAACACAAAGTAAACCCAATTCATAGTTACATTTATAGACTTGTAATAGTTGAACTTAAGGGAGGACCATAACTTTTTCAACTGGCATTGTGACAATGATCATCACCGAAACATCAGTGACCAAACTTAAAATTTGAGTAATGATATTCATCTCACCTAATGTATCTCATTATTCCATCTCACCTTAAGTGACATCTATTGATTGGGCAATGCATTTCTTACTTTGTATTTAAATAAATTAATCTAAATATTATTATATTTTTAAATAATATTAATCCTACTGATAATATTTTGTATTTTTATAACTTTACCCAAAAGTGTTTTTTTTTTTGAGGTTAAGGTCTATTTATTTTAAAATTTTAGATATAAAAGTATTCAAAAAGTATATAAACCTAACCAAAAAATAATTAAATTAACTTATTAGATTTTATCTAATAATTAATTAATTTATTAAATTTCGTCCATAACTAAATGCCATGTAAGGTGAGATGAAAAGGTGAGATAAATTAGGTGACATGTGTATCATCAATCTTAAAATTTTATGAGTAATGATACACAACTCACCTAATTCATCTCACCATTGTATCTCCCCTTACATGGCATTTAATTATTGAGTGAAATTTAATGAGTGAATTTAATTATTTTTTTTATTAAATTTATAGACTTTGTGGTATTTATATATCTAACATTTTAAAATAAATAGACCATAACCCTTGAAAAGGTAAACCCTGAAGGGAAACATTATAATACTGCAAATGATTTATTAATTGGACTAATATTGGTAAGAAATATAATATTTAAATTGAGTTATTTAGATGTGGTAAAGGAAGTAGTGCATCAAATGCAGAAGATTTATTGTCCAATATATGATTGACATGTCAGGTGAGATGCAAAGGTGAGAGATGAATATTATTTCCGAAATTTTATAACTTTGAACATGACCATTCAAAGCTTTAAAACTTCCAAAACTTACATGCAAGTTGGATATATATTACAATCTATAGTATTATACTAAGAGAGAAACCAGAGAGAGAAAACAAAAAAGAATTCTAAAGGTGCCACATAGGATAAAATCCTATGTGTCATTTTTCTAATGGTTGAGTAAAAAAATATTTACAACAATTATACTAATAGTCCTTCAAATTTTATGTAAATAAAGTTTTATCAAATGGCATTTAAAACTATAGTTTAAAATAGGAAAATAAAAATTAATTAAGTTTAATGGCCATGATTAATGAACATTAATGCACAAGAATTATTCCCTCCCCAAAAGAATCCCCAAAGTTACTACTGGACTCATTTAATTAATTTCTTTAAAAAAAAAAATCTCTCTCCCAATCATGTAAATCAACATACTACAATTCAAAAAAAAAAAAAAAAATCCAATCATTCAACATTAATGTTATCTTTAAAATCTTTTCCCAAAAACATGACCCTGTATTTTTCACCAATTAAAAAGAAAAAAAAGGTACAAAACTTGCCTTCAATTATTACTAAAAGGATGGGATTTAACTATAATTAAATGTTATCTTTTAAATTTCAAACCAATGCATTTATTTGTGTAATATCATATTTACCCAAATAAATATAATCTTTTCTTAATAATATCTCAAAAGTTGTTATAAACTTTATCTTTATCACTGAAATTTTGGATAATCAATTATCATCAATCCCAATTTATCTCTATTTATTTCTACTTTTGGATAGTAAAATATACTCCAAAACACCTACATTACTGATTGATTATAAATAAAAATAGTAAAATTCATTTTACATTTTTTATATTTTTTTTTAGATTTTTTATAATGTATATAAATAAATCCCGCGCATCGCGCGGGTTTAACATCTAGTTACAACACTGACAAATTCCTAATGCTTTTGAACTCAACAAATTTCAGAAGTGTTTCTGACTGTATTTTAGTTACCAATTCTGCTGACCCTAAATTGTACCCTAAAGAGTCTCAAATCTCTCCTCTTCCTTTCTACAAGTCAGTAAATTTGAACTCTCATATGTACAAATCTCTTTTTTCACGAGAGAAACCATGCAAAAAAAACTACACACAAGCAGTCAATCTCCTGTTCTATGTTTCTAGCAAGTCTTCCAGATCCTTTCGCATTTGTTTTCGTTTTTTGTTGTTTTTTTTTTTTGGCTCATCTTTTAGGCCACACGGCTAACAAGACCAAAAATTTGGTTCGAGTAGTTCATTGCTCCACAGCAACTTCATTATGTTGGCTTCCATCATTGACACATGATGGAGATTCCTCTATAGTGAACAGTTCCACTGGATATGTTCTTCTGAGTGCAGGCCTTTTCTGAAATTTTCTCTTGCTTTGCAAAATGCCTTCATCCCCTTTCAGCATCCTCACCACCTGCTTTCAATGAATGGTGTTGGCTGTCAGCTTCAAAATGATCCATCTGACACTTTCGTGTTCAAATGCAATGTTCATCTAGATGAAGTTGCAGGTTGTTTCATGTAATAATAAGTACATTTCGAATACTCAAGAACTCGGTTGCACTCGCATTTCCACATCTTTTATGACCAATGCAGTCTATTTTCTGATAATCTTCTATTATCCTTAAGCATACATTTATGTCATACACTAGTATCGGTGACAGCATTTTAGTATTTGCCGGAGAGAAAACTTGCCTGGCTCATTTGAGGCCGATCAGATGATGACTGTTGTATGCACAACGAAGCGACCATGACCATAAGATTCACCTGTTCTGCATCATATGCACCGTAAAGTGAAGGATCAACTAGCTCCTCAATGTTTTTGTTTATGAGGAACGGTTTAGCCTGCAGAAAATGGTATCAAGTTTCCTCTTAGTTTTTTGGGAAGGGTGAAGAGTAAACAACATAATGCTTTTCCAAATATATATAGATTACTGGATGCATAGAGACGTACCCACATCACAACACTGTTATTCGACTTATCTAGAGCAGGACGTCCACTCAAGAGCTCTAACAATAACACCCCAAACGCATAGACATCTGTTTTCTCATCAACAGTACCATGTAGGAAAAATTCTGGTGGAAGGTAGCTGTTTCATGACAAAACTATAAAATCAAGAGCCAGCACAACAATTTGAGAGACTAATACACATTTTGATTTAGTCGAATTTCACAAACCCGAAAGTTCCTTCAAACTGTGAGACATTTAAGTGACTCCATTGGTCCGGAAGCCACTTTGCCAGGCCGAAATCTGAAATCTGCATCAAAGCTAAAACTTGATCATCATAGTCCAGAAAAACACTTCTAGCTAGTTTATATGGTAAAAGAGACTCCTGATTGAACTCCTACAATTCAAGGAATTACCTGAGGCTCAAAATCTTCTGTAAGCAAGATGTTAGCAGCCTTAATATCTCTATGGAGGATTCTCCTTTGACAGCCTTCATGAAGATACGAAAGGCCACATGCAGTTCCTACTGCAATATTGTATCTATGCACCCAAGCTAATTTCTCCTTCTCACCTGATACACGAGTTCAAAAGAATCACTGAGATTTAAAGTCATGCAATGTGAGCAGAATGCAACGTTGGCGAGCAAGAAATGGTTTGCGAACGAACCATTTAGCAGGGATGCCAAGCTACCATGAGGAGACAAAGGCAGAACAAGGTGTAAACCCCCTTCCACTCCATATCCAATTACACTAGCAATGTTTGGATGGTTGACATGTACTAAGATTCCTAGCTCAGATAAGTAGTCTGCTGTCATCTCCTCAGGGCTTCCTCGTGTCAGCCTCTTGATTGCTACCAGTTTCCCATCTTGCAGATGTCCCTTGTAAACTTCAGAATAACCTCCTTCTCCAATCAAATTATCTTTGAAAAGGAACACCACAGAAAGAATGAAGATTTAGTTGTGCTTGTTTGATTTTGGAGCATAACAATGAGAAAATGAAGCAAAAATTCCCCATTCATGTAGGTGACCATATAAAGGCTTGAGTTGCAACTAATTATGCAAGAGCTATGCAGGGTAATAACAGCTCAAATTAATTTTAAAGGAACGAAGACTTTGAGAATTGAGAATGAGAAACTAAAAGGCGGTGGTGTACCGTGGTTAAAATTGTTGGTTGCATTTTGGATTTCTGAGAGACTGAAATTCTTCCAAGACGCTTCAAAACAACTATACAGCTGAGAATCTAAGGTAGCCGGCAATGCTGGCAAACTTTGTGTTGCACTTCTACTTTTTTTTCTTGAGATCTTCTTAATGGAAGGTAAAGAAGGTAAGGAGGGATGGAAGTGATTGAAACTCATTGTTGATCCCTTCTTTAGTTTGCGAAGGAAACCACGCCACTGAGAATCACCTTTCTCATCTCCATGGCCTTGAGAATCTGAAGAAGATGTTTCAGATTCTGATCCAGATTCATACTTTGGAGCTTCTCTATGATCATGCTTATCTTCATCTCCCTCATTGGTACTCAATCCTTCCAACTCTAAACACAATATTGTACCAGAAACAAGTTACTCACCATATGACAGAATGTTCATCTGGATTCTATAAATGTATAGCAGCAGCAGAAGTAGGTAAAACTGAAACAGACGACATCACATATCCGCATAAAAGAAATCAGTTCAAAAAGTAGGATATTTTACCTCCTGATGATATACTAATGGAGGAAAGAGAAAAGAGAAACTTCTGTCCAATTTGAAACAAATCCCCATCCGAATTTCCTTCTGAGCCATCACTTACATTCTCACTGCCATCATTGAATTCACAATCAAAGAGGGTCTAAGTAAAACTTTCTAAAATGGTAAGATAAACCTTAACTGACTTTAAACAAACTGATGAATTGTTGAAATAAAATAGACTTAAAGACTCAAAGAACTAGCAAGCAGAAGCGCAGTTTATACCAATATTCCCTGTATTCCAAAATGATTGTCGTTCGCGTTGAATACAACAAACAGAACAATCATTTTGGGACGGAGGGAGGGAGTACAATCATTGTTGAAAGCTACTAGACATGAGAAGGTATAAAAACTGCACTGATTATGTAAAAAGCTGCAACTATACAAACAGAGGCCTAATTCACATAACTCCTAAACTTTTCCCCGAGGGAAGACATTGAAATGAAATAAAGTATACACATTGGCCCTTAATTAGGCTAGCAAAATCAGGAAAATAATCTAATATGACAAAACTCACATTCCCGGTTATGCATGCATTAAAATCATACAGAAACAAAGGGACATTGGAATTCATTTCCCGGGCGCATAACCACATTGTAATCATGCAAGATAAAATTAACATATAATCCCCTAATGCATGAAAGACTCATATGACATTACATTATTGCATGAGTCAAAATTGCATGAATTGCATTCCCAGATTGTATATATCAAAATGCATATCCCTAAAAACAAGATCAATCAAAAAAAAAAAAAAACCCCAAATAGAAATTCTGAATCAATTTACCTTGAAGGAGGTGAATGCTCTGGGGAACTTCCCATGGTTCCTTAGAGACAGCAAAACATGCAGCTCCAAGAACCAAGAATGGGATTTGCAAAAATGTGGGTCTTTCTCTGCAACTGATTACAGAGAAAGAGAGAGAGAGAGAGAGACAGAAATCAGAGGTTGGAAAATGCAATGAAACAGGATTTTCTTCTTCAGACAAATTTTCCAATTGAGGAGGAATAGCAGGAAAATCGGCCCCCCCCTTCTTCTTAAAATTTCAATATTTTCTGTGACTTTGTTTTATAAAACTCGGTTTACACACGTAAAAATTTACGGTAATGATAAAATTTTATTGCATTACTAAAAAAAAACGAAAAAGAATAAAAAAGCAAATGTTGTCAGCAGGAAAAAAAAGAGAAATTCCCAAGAATATTTCCTGTTTTCATGAATGGCCTAAAATGTAGTGTCCATAGTTAGTTACTGTCTCTATCTTGTAACAACGTAAGACTAACTAACTGAATTAACGGTAACATCTAAAGGTACAAAAATATGACACAATCTCTCACCACTCTGATCCCCAATTGAAACTTTTAGTAGTTTAGTTTAGTAGGTTAGCTTTAATTTAATTCAATTGCTCATATTATATATTCTCTTTTTCCCCTACATTATTACAATAGTCGATCGCTTTTTTTTGCTATTTTCTTTTCTTCTTCTTTTTTTTCAAATTTTGACTATTTTTAATTGAAGAGTAACTTTCTGGTGGAAAAGAACACAAAAAATTGCAACCGAAATACATTACTCTCCCAAATGCCAATATTGATCATATTTATTTATTTACTGTTTTTTTTAAGATCCCAAAAGCAATTAAAGAATCTCAATTCCACGTCGGTGTTATTATGATTCCCAATCCATGTATACAAGTGTTAATTGATAACATCATCAACAGTACAACAAAATGGGAATCATAGTATATGATGGAAATACAAAATAAAGAAAAAAAAAAAAAAAAACACAGACACACACTGTGAGAACCTGAAATCAAACAGCAAATTTGGACGAACCCCGAAGAAAAGAAAAGTACATAGAACAAACAAATTACTTGGAAACCAAGCAACAAGAACTTGATGGTGACTAGCAGTATTAGTTCATGTGAATTGTATCAATAGTTTATAATAAGTTATCCTTCTCATATATTTGCACAATAAAAACAATGGAGTAGAGTATTAAAATGGTTTCCATGGAGAGGTATTCGTTGGGTTCTTTTCCTTTTCCCTTTTTTTTTTTTTCTATTTTTTGGGCGGGAAAAACTTACTACGACAACGTTGATAAAAACTTTATAATGCCTGACGGTCTCAAAGCTCTCTGAATAAAAATGAATAGCACAATTTTGCACATTATGTACAATTAAACGAATAATTTATGCCAGGAGAAAAAAAAAAGAAAAGAAAAAAGAAGTTGAGAAGGGTTGCTAAAACTCAACTATGAGGTATTGAGGTTTATTGAATAAGCAGAGGAAGCTACAGGGTGGCAGAATCAATGTTTACATACATACATGTTCTCGTTATCACTGAACATTACGCGTGATTAGTCCCTCAAAAACAGCATAAAGATCTTTGTTTTCCGGACCGAAAATCTCACTGGCCTTCCGCAGAGTTTCCTATGATTTCCAAAGTTTTAATGTTATTGCAAGACGAAGAAAATAAAGGCGGCGGAAAGGAGGCTGAAACATGAGCTGATGCAATCTTTACTTACCTCTTTTGTTTGTTTGTGAGAGTTCAAATCCTTAACATTTGCAAGAAAGGCGCCAAACTGCTCATACGACAATCGGCTCCTGTCAAACATACAGACTACAAGATAAGCATCTTTGAGAAGCGACAAGAAGGAGAAAAAATAAATAAATAGACAGCAACCAACTACTGCTGCACATAGTGGAGTGGTAATTAGCTTCTCCTGTAACCTAAAATGGAGGAATCTGTACCTGACTTGACGAAAGAATTCTTTCCCATCAACCCGAGTTCTCCCTGAATCATGCACGGAAACTGATTCTTTTAAGTTAAAATAATACAATAGTTTCAGAATCAAGTAAAAATCAGTTCACTTTGAAGAAAGTGAACCTCAAAACCACTATTACTGTTCCGCTGATTATCCCTTAAGTTGAAGTTAATTTCAATATACTTCAGCTGAATTCCCAGCCACCATGTTACACTTTAGCACTTTCAAAGATAAAAACACTTTAAAGATACTGTGTAATTGTGAATATAATATCAGCACAACCATCAATGTGACATGTATAGTCTACAATCTACATAAAAGACTGAAGTTGAAGTATCAAGGAGGACAAACCAGATTGTGAACCTGTTTCCAAGCCTGACATTGAACTGTGTGTCGATGAAGGCAAAGAAAATGAAGCCCGGTCTTCAAACAAGCCCCTTGTACTTGAAATTGAAATGGAATGTCTCCTTGGAGACAGTGGTTTGGGAGTCCTTGTTGGAGACACAGATGCCGATTGACTGGGAGGCGAAATAGGAGGACTGAGCTTAGGGGTGCTGGTTTGGGATGCTAGCAACAGTCCAGGTGATATGCGAGGCCTAGGTGCTGCCATGATGTAAACATGTTAGCATTGTTACTTCTGCCTTCACAAAAAACATCCTTTACTGAGAGACCTAGCCAAAACTCCACCATAATAATTTCAGGCTTGACAATAATCATGCAAATTATGTCAAGATTTTCATATTCACCATTTGGGAAGTTAAAAAGTCATTGACAAGCACTCAAGCGAAGGCAGGTATTCAAGCTTAAACAAAACAAACCTTCAGAATCAGTATCCTCAGAATATGAGCTTCCGATGTCATATTGACTCCGCATTGAAGGAGTTCTACTAGGTGTCAGGGATGCATCTTCTTCTGAATGAACAAAGTTTTAATCAAAGCACTGAATGCATACAAATTTTATATTGTTTCAAGTAACATCAAACAATTAGAAAAGGCCACAAATATTCTACAGGAAACAATTAAAGTTGGAAGAAAAACGAACCTGTAATGCTCTTTGCTGAAACAGCCATTTGATTACTCCCAGCCTGCAATATTCACCAGATACATACTACATTAGAAGCTTAAAATTGGCCAAGAACAATATTTTCCCGGCCCCGGCTCTGACAAAAGTTGCATTTGAGCACTGTATAGATTTGAAAATAAAGTATTTATTCATACAAATTTGAAATCCTGAAGAATGGCCATATATCTATCATATCAACTTACTGAATGATCTTCATCATCTTGGAGTGATCTCATGAGTGTCTTTCTGAAGGCTTCCAACTACATCAGTTTGAAACATTACACTTTAATCAATAATCCCAGAAACCAAAAATAACAAACATAGCCAACATTGTTTACCCTCCCCTCTACGATAGTTGGCATCTAAAAGCATGCTCGTAAACATCCAAATCAATTGCTATATGGCAAGAACAAAAGAAATTTATTAAAAAAGATGGTTTCTTGACATACAACAGTACAGCTTTATGGTGATCAAGTAATTCTCATTAATTTCACAACCATCCACTTCCATGTTACAAAATTATTAGAATAACACAGGGAAAAAAAAAAGGCATGTTTACAGGTAAAAAAAGGTAACACTGTAAGAGAATAATTGACATTCATGAGAATAAAAAAATCACCAAAACGACCTACATATTTTTTTACCATTCCTAACTCAGCCACATTGCTAAAAAAAACCATTTTCCAAGCCATTTTCATTACAAAAGTTCCATCATCAGAAGCTATATTTCGCACCCAAATTAACATTTTACAGGACGAATCTTTTAGTTAATAATTCGCATAGAGTAAGAACCAATGAGAAAATACCAAAACAGGCAAATTATAAATTAAAAAAATAAATAAATAAATAAACTTAACCAACATAAAGAACCTAAAGTCAACGGGGAGACAATTTTTAGCCTGAAAAACAGCTAAAATTTACTACCTTTGCAACATCGCGGTTCAGCTTCTTTACTGCGTTAGCCAGCGTCTCATTCTCTTTCTTCAAGTCCTCCTGTTTCATATTTCCAAAACCAAAAAAGGTAAAAACAAATTATTACGCGGGTAATTTTTCACAGGAGTAAAAAGAAATTGCGGGTCGGGTCAGTATGGAGTACGGACTTTCTCCTGGTCAGCACGGGAGAGTTTGTCGGAGGCATCGGAAAGGGCGGCGTCGAGCGACTCGAGCTGAGACTGGAGGTCGGCGATGACGTCATCCTTCTCGGCGAGGTTGTGGCGGAGAACGGACGCCTCCGATTCGAGGGAGGCGATACGTGTCGAGAGGGCAATGGAGGTGATCTTCCGGGCGACGTCGAGCTGTTCGAATGGATCCGGCGGCAGAACTTCCAACACTTCCTCGGGAAGACCGAAGTCGTTCGGTATTCCCGATTCTTTGGACAACATTATTTCAGTTTCTTCTTTTCTTTTTTTGTTTAAAATTTTTTTTTTTTTTTGGGCTATTCTTTTTGGTTGTTTTTTGTTGTTTTTAGTGTAGGAAAAGAATATTAAGATAAGGAGTTTTTTTGGCTTACTTGCGTATGGCTTCTGATTTTCCATCCCAATTCGTGGTTTGTATATTTTGATTGATTTTATAATCAATTTTTTCTTTTTATTGTATAGTTTGGATGGATGAGGAAGAAAGAGCAAGGTCAAATAACTTTATCATGTGAAATAATATATGAATAATCTACATTTTGAGTCATTGAGATGAACAAAAATGACGAGAGTGATTAGTCATTGTTGTCGACGGTAAACACCTTACAATATGAAAAATAAATAAATAAATAAATTTGCCAACAATTACTGAGGTAAACTCAAACTGAATTTGTCTATCTCAGTTTCAAATTGACTTGATGCGCTTTCTTTATCAATCAACTCCAAATTCAGTTGATAATACGCTTCAAAAAGATCAGTCAACTCTTTTTCCATACTATTTGTCATGCCGTCTTTTCTCGCAGCATAATTCGATCAGAAAAGAAAGAAACAACAGAAGGAAAACCCAAAAATGACGAAAGATATATTTACCGCGTACAATAATAGCAAACAGGGAAAAAGAGAATCAGAAAGAAGATGAAAGTGGTGAAAATCTTCCAACATTGAGCCATTAAGGATCCACAACAATAATACTACTGCCGAAAACTACCTCTTATGAACTACTCAGCTATCATTCTTATCTTATACTACAAAAATGTTCAGCAGTAACAGTAGCAATATGTAGATAAGAAGTTATTTTCATCCTTGAATTTGCCTTTGATACATGGACAACAAAGAGTGAAGTCGCTTAACTTAACATGGATAGGGACCTACTCTTCTTTGGTCCGGGAAATAGATGCATCATCAGTTTCTGGCGTTTCAGTCTTCTGAATGCTCGATTTGGCTTCTGCGAGAAACTTTGGATCTGGTTCGTGTTTATACACAGGTTCTTTCATTGCCATGTAGATGTAGAACACTATAACTATGTTAACTGATATTACTGCAAGGAACCCGCTCAGCAGCGTCAAAGAATAAGGTGATAATTCAGAGATACCTGTTCAACGTTAGACACTTTAATTAAAAGCACTAACAAAAATCTGACGGTAAATATGACAAAGCTGACAGCTGAAAGCAATAGCAGCACCGAGTAGGCCAACTGAAACTTGCTATAAGCAATTATGTTGACTGAGTACTGGGATAATAGTTTTCAAAAGCCGTTAATGGCTGCACTGAGTATCATCGCATAAAAAGTAAACAAACCAAGTGATCTATCTTTGTTCCTTAACCTTATGAGCTCTTAGGTTCGAAGGTGAAAATCTATGCATACTTGAAACAGACTGTGCCGCCACAAACTATGTCTACCAGCACGTAAACTACAAACTACAGTAACCAAAAAAAAAAAACAATCAGTTTGATCTTAGGATAAGAATCATAACTACCTAAAGTTCCATGAATATACTCGGAGAAAAGCTTCACAATTGCCACAAGTATATTAGGCATTTATTCATTCTTCTTCTTTTCCCCTCAAAACATCATTGTTACATCTATTAAGATCAACAGGAGAAAATAAAATTACAGAATTGAGGAGAAAATAGAACATACCAGGAAACAAGCTATGGTTGAAACCATATAAAATAGCAACAGGAGCAGCCCACATGAAGACAGAGGCAATGAAGAATTTCTGAATCACTCCAGCCATGGAACTTCTGCCTGTGAACAACTGCATAACCAATCAAGAAATCACTACACATGTCTTCTCAGAAGGCGAAATCGCTTAAAGCAATCATTGAATAAGAAACAAACTAAAAAGCAACACGAATTCTCATGCACCTTCACACATGTCAAAATTCATCCATATAACTGTAACAGAATTAGTCCTTTGGGGTGTTCATCGGGTTTGCGGATTCGGGTATTTTGATATTCGGGGTACGAACAGTGTCACCCGAACTAAAACACATTGTCCACTCATGCATATCCGAACAACTAATTCGGTTATTTGAGTTTTCGGTCGGGTTTTCGGGTTACCCGAAATAAACTCGAGACTTTCACAGATACAGTATAAAGCTACACTACAATGGCTTCACCAAACTGGAGACTGATGTAATGATACCGGGCAAATTTTTTCTTACTGAAACAAACACAAAAAATGGCAAGAGCTTTCTAAAACTCTATATATCACAATCAAAGCAAAACATCCAATCCATTTAAATTTTCAATCATCTCCCGGGAAAGGAATTCAGATTAAGAGCCGACAAATTTTGAGAAAAGAGATTGTGATTTCTAATTAAGATAGCCCAGCCAGAAAAATTACCTTTGATTTGATGACAACTGACTAAGGTGGACGGAGAGACGCACCCGCCGTCCGCCGATCAACAAGCAAGAGGGGGCGCCGGCCACCGCCGTCACTATTTGGAGAGGTGGGGTAGAGGGCGCCGCCGATGAACCACGGTTAGCAGAGATGCCGGAGAAGAATTTCGGTGCAGATGGGGATCAGATTTCCAAAGGGCTCGATCCGTTTACAGACCTCTATAAAAGTAAAAAAAACAGTAAAAAAAACAGTTGGAAAGTTTTACCCGGTGGCAATTTTGCAAAATCTATATGTATCAATGGGGGAGTTGGACCGGGATTGCTCCCGTTTAGGTACGGTGTCCGGTCACTCTTATTACACGTGTCGTTTATCTATTGGATTCAACAAATTCACTAAGGCCTTTCATGGCTTCTTTCGGTTTTCAACTTTGTCGCCTCTGTCAAATTTCGGAATCAGTAGCCATATATTCATGGATCGAAACCAATTCGCCCATCAATTTCCTCCCATCTTTTCCGTCTTTATTTTAGGGGATTTGCGATTTATTCAACGGAAGAATCTATAATTGTTTTGTAATGTAGCTGGGTTTCTCAAGAATTAGCAGAGGAAGAAAGAACTCGCTCATTCCTCAAGAAGCATTTTCCTCTACTGCTTAAATTTATCTGAACCCTTAGACGTTTGCATCTTCTCTTTGTACCTTGAATCTCTTGTTGCTCCAAACCCATCAAGGTGCGCTCAATTTTCAGGTTTTTTTAATTCTGTAACCTATTCTAGCACTGACGATGTTTTTAAGTTATCAATTAGGATAAATATTTTACTATTTTGAATAGCTATTATACTCTCTGTCTTTTTATAATTATTATACACGGAAAAATCTGTTTGTTTGCTTTTAAATTGATTAGTTGGATAAATTCATAACTCTAAAATCTGGTGAAAACTTCTGTGTTTGTATGCTATGTGTTTGATTATTTATTTCTAACAAAACTATGCTTCTTGGATACATTATATCCCCATTAACTCTTTCTACTATTCGTCTAAGGGAAATTTCATTTTTGGACATAGTTTGTTTTATTTACCACTTTTTTTTTTTTGTTTTCATGAGAAATTTTGATTGGAAGTAATAGTTTCTGGTTTATCAAATACTGAGTTAGCCAAACAAATGAGTTGTTAAAGGGTCAAGTAGAATTGGAATTGAATTCTATGGTATTATATCCTGCTCTCTCATATTGTTACAAGTGTGTTCTATTCCATCCAGAACATGACCTCTACTTTTTCCAAGGTTCTGTAACCTTGAGTCAGGAGGAATGGTTTAGAATCTACGATGTATTGTTGGCTGATTAACCATTAAATTCAACTGTAGGGATCCTGAACTTATGATGAAGATTGGTGAGGCTATCGCTTGAAGCCAGAGTAGCTATAATTTTTCTAAACACTAATGCTCATGAGCTTCTCAATCTCTTACTTGCTCGCTCACTCCCTTATCAGAATAAAGTAGCTGCTTTTGCAAAAAACTTTGTTGGCGAGGGGCACTACTAATTAAGGATAATTTACTTAGTATCCACATGTCTACATATTCGATCATTAAAGGAACCCACAGTCTTGATATCATACTCCAGCTGGAACGGTAGGAAGCTGCATGTAAACCAAGAAATGATCTCTCGTTTCCTGATAGACAGCCTAAACTTCAAGATTTGTCTCAGTCTATATGTTTTTATTTTAGTGAATCAAATGAATAATACCGTAACATTTAGCGGACAGATCGAAAGAAAAAATGTTAAGAGTTGGTGGCTGAGGATAGTAATCAAAGAATCTTGGAGAAGTTACTACTATATCCCCAAGAAAATAAAATAATAAAACACGTTCTTTTTTCAAATGAGTTTGATGATGAAGTCATGTTTTTCTATGTATGTAATTTTCTATAACTCATGCTCCCTATTGTTTTGCGAAATGTAGCTTAGAAGTACGGATCGTTTAAGTTTAGAAGGTTTGTGATAGCATGACTTCACTTAATGCTATTGATGAGTTTTCCTGGCTTCATAATCTCATATTGGGGTGGCATTCACATACCACTCCACCACATGCAAATTATATTTACTCCACTGAAGTCAATATTCTGGTACGAATTGACATGGTTAAAGGTTCAATTGTGTCAGATATTGAAATTTTCTGCAAATCAAGGGGCTGACAAGGCATGAAAAAGATTACTAGAAGTACTCCAGCTTTTTATTGGTGTTGATTTGTAAAATCGAAAAAATCATATGAATGGAATAAGATTGAGGGAAAAGCTGGTTAAAGTCGAGCTCGATTGATTTCCATCAACTGGGAGAAGGAAGAAACCAACCTATCGTTTTGGAGTATAGTAAACAGGAAGTACCGTGGTACGATACATATTTTCAGTGGAAAACTACAGGTGGCTTTAAAGGATGCCATCGAAGCATAGGAGATTTGATTTACTAACAAATCTGGCTAAGATTTAGTAGAGAATTCAGATTATATTTACAAGGTTCTTCTGGTTGCTTCAAAGATATTTGAATTTATAAATCATAAAATCCATTTACCATGAAGAATTACAGATTTAAGTGTAAGACCAATACTTACAGTGAAGAATATCATTGTTAAATGTAAGACGAAGAGAAATCTATCGTTTTGCAATCTTTGCTATTCATAGATCATGCCGCGAAAGCATTTTTGCTTTTACCAATTCTTAAGCATATTTTCTAAAACCATTGTATTTTCATGGTGTACCAGAACTGCATTATAAGATTGAAAATTTGAGTTTGGAAAAGATTGGAAAGGGTGATTTCTTCCACAAGAGTCGGACAAGTTTGATCGACTAAGAGGCTCAACATATTGAATCCGAAACATTGATGTCTTGCACGTGGTCATAACAGAGAACCAGAAGTTCTAGCTTCCAAATTCACAAATGATGGGTGATAAGATTAGTCAAAGATCTCATTAGTTAGAATTATTTAGATTCTATTTGTTTAGATTATTTCAGATTTTATAATATCTAGATCTTAACTAATGTTTATGTATGCCTATAAATAGAGGCAATGTAATGTACTGCTGCACACAATACAATTTATGATTTCATCTTCTTTCATGAAGTTATTTCTCATCATGGTATTAAGAGCAATGTTGATCCTGCACTAAAATTTTTTTTCTTCACATTATCCCACCACTGATTACCTCCAAAAATCACTATTACACACACTATTTCACATACTACTACACGTTATTTTATTTTATTTTTTTCCTTTTCTTTTACTTTAATCACCATTGTTTTAAAATGACTATTTCACAATCACTCACTACTACTCAATCATTTCCTCTCTCCAATATCACAAATTTTATCACTGTATCTCTTGATAACTCCAACTATCTAATTTGGAGAGTTCAAGTTGAAGAAATTTTAATTACCACTGATCTCAATGGTTATATCGATGGTTCAATTTTACCACCAAAAGACTCTTCACCTGATTCTACTATTCCAAAAGAATTTCTTCAATGGCAAAAACTTGATCGCCTTGTCAAATGTTGTCTCACTACCTCGTTGTCTTCTTCAATGGCATCGGTGGCATTGGGGTGTCCTACTGCTCGTGACCTTTGGATCAAACTCGAGCATCATTTACTACAAACCTTTTATCTGTTGGAAAATTTGTCACTGATAATTGATGTTTAATGGAATTTTCTCCTTTTGGTTATGTTGTGATGGATCTAGTCACCAAGACTCCGCTTCTCGCGGGTAACATCCACAATTACCTCTATCCTATGAAGATTCCTAAAACATTCCACAATCCTGTAGCTCTGGCTGCTCGTGCTGTTCCTTCTAATCTTTGGCATCACCATCTCGGACATCCGTGTCACTCAACTCTTTCATCTTTAGCTCGATCTTTGTCATTTAAATCTTCCAAAATAAATTCTTGTAATTCCTGCTTGCAATGCAAAAGTACTCGAATTCATTTTACTCCATCTTCTCATGTTTCTAAAGTACCGTTACATTTAATTCATTGTGATATTTGGGGTCCAAGTCCCTGTCTCTCTCTTTCAGGTTACCGGTACTTTATTATTTTTATTGATGACTTTAGTCGTTTTACATGGATTTATCCACTTACTAATAAATCTGATGCCTTTCATGCTTTCCAAAATTTTAAGTCATTTACTAAAAATTTATTTTTTACTAGTATCAAATATTTGTGATGGTGCTCCCGAACTTGTGAAAGGTGTTTTTGCTAATTATCTTCGTAGTCATGGTATTTCTTATCACATCTCTTGTCCCCGTACTCCTCAACAAAATGGAGTTTATGAAAGAAAAATTCGTCATATCACTGAAACCGGGCTTACTCTTCTTCTTCATGCTTCTCTTCCCAAATCCTTTTGGGTTGAAGTTTTTT